GCGAATTCCTCGACGGTGCGAATTGTCTCCCCTTTGCTACATTGCCCTCCCAACACATAGAGTTTGTTCTGAACACACGTCATACAGTGGTGAGATCTTCCCTTCACTAGTCTTTTTGAACATTTTTTCATCTTGTTCATTACAATGTCACAATGGTACACATCCAACAAACATTTCCCGCCTCCAGATAAGTACACGTGAGGCGCGTCATAGTTATGGTCTTGTAAACAACACACTGCGAATCCCGTGCCGACAGCGGATAGTTCGGGCACCCGACAAGTTTTCTGGAAATTATTCCTACAGTCATACAAATTGACACTGAGAGGTGTTGAAGTCCTGTCACTTCCGTTTCTTGTGAACATCAACTGATAACGAACAGCCTCGTTATGAGATCTGGGTTCCAGACTTAAGCGGCGACACAATTTGTTATTTCTAATAAAAAGTTCACATTCTGTCTGCAGTTGTTTGTGATGCAGTTGTCTCGAAATGGCTAAATATTTGTCCACATTTTTGGAATTGATGCAACCTCTATCTCTGAAACGTCCCTCTCTAAAGAACATTGCTAAAGCCTTTCCGGATTCGGCATCGAGACTCTTGTAGACCCGAGTGGGGTCTGAACTGTTGGCGGGTTTGGAACATTGACGCTGCATGACCCTGGAATGCTGGTCTACACTTGTACACTGAGAATTAGTGTGTGCAGTAGGGGCCAATGTGTGTTTCTGGTTTGTCATCTTCCCACTGTCAATATTTACTTCCTATAAAACATAAACAATAATATATTTTTGATTTATAAAATGTGACATGTTGCACGCGGAACGTCAATGAGTGTCGGAAAGGCTACATTGAGTAAGATTGAATGTGGATCATGACGAAATGACATTTGTATGTTTCAGTTAATAAACTAACTGAAAAGTTTATAAGATACATATTTGTGAATTAACTCGAAACAACTTGCACACGGATAGATACCGATTCTTACAATACGTACCTTTTTTGTTACAAAGTTTCTTCCTTTTTCTTCTTGTTTTACAACTCTCGATTTGCTTGAATTATTAGCTCATGTCAAAGTTTATAGCTATACATTTGATTTTGGTCTGGTAGGCTTTATCGTTATCGACCGCTTATATATACTGCTCTGAAATCTATAATTAAAATGTGCATGGGGAAATTCCCCAATCCATGACTCTTTTCTAACTTGTACTGGGGATCCCATACCTAGGTAAAAGTCAGTGACGCGTCACTTCCATAGTGACATGAAAATATTTGAGGTAACATTAATAACCCGACGCAATCTTAGTAGTACAGAGGAGTGTATAAGCAAAACAGCGTGTACTAATAGAGGTTACCATATGTGTGTACACACATACACCTGAGGTATTGTTTACACTACCGTTTGTATATATTGCTCGGTAGTGGTGTAATACCTTTATCGTACTGTTACTCTGGGTTTAGGTGTCCAACTTGTCGTGACGTAAATGGTATTTTCTGTGACTTTCTGCTCTCCGCGGGAGGGGAACGAATGACGTTCATATAAATCTTTGTATTTGAATCACTCTGACGTTTCAACACTATTATATATATATGAGAGTAGGAAATTACCAACTACGCAATACAAAAATTTCTGTATTACTCAACTCGTCATCTACACACTGTAAACTGTTCCACGTGTCCAATCAAATATTTTCTGTTTTGAATACTCTATGACACTGGTTCATACAATTATCGTGAAAAGGGGTTTTTCATAGATATTGAAATACATGATCTGGGATTCAAAATTATCACTCTCTGAGAATAAACATAAAATATCAACATTTCTACAGACATTTCAAAGTTATTCGATAATGATAATTTACATTCATTTATGTTATCTGTTATTAGCTAAAACACGATAGATTTAATATAACAGAGTTCCAAAATATCTCAACCATGCTAGATCAATATGCGTTTGGGCAATGATATTGCGACAATATACAAACGTCTCTCAAATCATGCACTTTTTATTGGTATAGATTTGAAAGTTTTATAGTGCATAACTGGTTTTAAAACAATTGACGCTCTAAGTCACTCTCACTGTCATACAGGTCCGAACTAAAACAGATTTTGACGTGAAAAATAATGTATGTAATGTGACAAGTCTCCATCTATAACAAACAGTATCGGGAAAGTGTGATCTACTAATTAAGTACACCAAGTTAACCATTGGACGTGCATACATACATGTACACGTATTAACACATTTGACTTGCTGGTACTTACATGTAACTTGCGCCGTCTGTTGCACGTCTATAAGTAACTGTGAAATAAAAATTAATTTCCAAGAATCAAAGCAGTTTTATTTTCAATCTCAACATGTTTTTTTTATGTATTTTATAAGTATATATGTGCGTAGAATGCTTACAGTTAATTATTAATTAATTATACCGCGTGTAATTCATTGTTGGTTTTATGAATACATTTTCTATTTAGATTTAATAAACGAGATACCAACAAGTAAATAGATTTTAAAACTCTTATTTTACTTTAACGACGTAGCCTAAACGTTTCCATATCTTGTACGTATAATGAGGAAAAATCCTAACACCCGTAACCTAAGTCCGACGTTAAGACAGCGGCGATGTACTTTGCATAATGATTCATATCTATATCTATGTATCTATGTAGAGTATACACTGTTTAATGTCTGGTGACGTTAATCAAACATTACTCATTACTAAAATGTTAGATACAGTACACAGCGTTATCGTACATTGTGGTGTGAAAATGTGTCTGCTGTCATGGTTGATGAGAAAATGATAGCATCATATTGTTATCATTCTTTGCCCCGCCCCAGTAACACTGTGACCTACACTGAATAGCACAGTCACTAGTACTCGCGATGTATACATAGTATTACCCTTTAGGCCACAAACATCGAAATACTCTTCAGAAATCAGCAAAAGTTTAACTTTTACCTGACGTACCTGCGTCATCAGCCACGTTCATGCGTCAATCAAAGTTAATCAACTAACCACAGACATTTGAGGAGCTATATACAGTATACAAAGTTCAAGGTGAAAGTCAGGTCACTAGGGATTTTCATTTCTCACAATTTTAAATTACAAATCCATGTCTTTTGTGAGGTTCGTCAACACTGCTTATACATTACCTTTTAATTCGTGATATGAAGATCTTTAAAAGAAACTATTTTATCTTCGATTGTTTTTGCAATTTCTGTGGCTATATATAAATTGCAGAATAAAATCAACTGAAGATACGTAAGACGCATACCCTTAATTTTTGAGTACCATTCTATAGTTCATCTGCAAACATAGAATCGTAAAAAATGTATTATAGTAAATTTATTGAGCCATGACTAACACAAGCCATAAATTTGGCGTCAGAGAACTCCTCCATTGAACTTTGTGTGGGTTTAGATTCGTCCGCTGCCTCCGATATCATTTATTATAGCATTCTATACAAAAGGATTGAGTAAGTGGTGAGGACTACTGCTGGATGTAAACATTTTTGTGTTGCCATAATCGTCACATCAGATGATGTGAACATAAACGTTTAGAAAAGTATATATATGTATATAAATAAGATCGCCATAACATCAATATAATTGTTCCATATACTTATTTGTGCAAAACCTTACTCATCATTTCTCCTTACATATATTTGTGTTCAATTCGTTTCCCGAAAATCGTAACCAAATAAGTGTGTATACTAAACGACGTCGGGAAAGGAATAATTACGTCACGTAACAATAGGGTAAACTGGCGCTTAAATGTCAACAATCCATTCTTGTTTCCACTCGTCAGTGTGATCTGTGGACAAAGTGAGCTGTAACCAAGTGGGACGTCAGCTCCTGGGGTAATAACGTGCAATGAATTGCGTGACCTGAAAAGTTGCTGTATCATTTATTTTATATTCACCAGGTTTGAAATAAACCACTACTTTTGTGAATAACTCATATCCATATATAAGTTTGTTGGTTTGTAAATATGAAAATATGAAAGGAATAAACAACAAACCAGACTATCTTTTAATATAACTGTATTGTTACAAAATAAACCAAAAACACCAAAAACTATAAACATTGAAGGTTATAATTAGAAAATAAGTCTGCAAAATAGTTATAATATATATCTATTCCGTCTTTGCTTATTGCAGAGTTATCTGCTCTTGTTAGCAGGTATTGATTGTTAATTGCAGGTGTTGATTGTTTTTGAGAGAACGACGTAATAATCAATACCTGCTCACAAGAGAAGATAACTCTGCAATACGCAAAGACGGAATATACATGTTTAAGTAATATTTCCGAACTCTTTTATCTTAAAGTTAAACATTTCTAGGAAAAATTAAACATTTTTAGGATTAAAATGCCTTATGAATAGGTCATTATGACATTGAGATTTTTGTTAAACATATCAGCCTGATTAAGACTGCTTTGACAGAAAGTACTGAATAATGATTGAAAAATTCCGACTAAAAAGAAATATGATTAAATCTAGTCCGATACCACATATCAGTGGTACGTATGTTGTTAAACAATTAAGATTAAGACAGTTCGGTTAAAAAGACCAATATTATTGGGAAAACAAATGTAAACAATAATAATACGCAATTAACTGGTAAACTATGATTTCGATTATGTTTTTAAGAATTTCAAACTCAAATAAACTGAAATAAACATTTATGGATATGGATGCATTCAACATTTTTAGCAAACAGCATTTAAACAGTAATACAAACAGACTACAAGAAAACCATTAGTTTAAACATGATGCAATACGTTATACATCGAGGGGGAAACGTTGAAAGGTTGACTTTCTAGTGTTGTAATTTCATGTGTATATATATATATGTATAGGGCATACTTACAATATACTTTTGACTTCTAACAAATTTTATTTACCAGAATTGGAAAATAGGATTAGGCACAAGTTATTACAACTTATGAAGCCATCTCCTTACAACAATAATTCAAAACAACAGATGATGATATAGACTATCAATTACAATTCATAGTAGTATGAAGCGATTTTTAAAGTAACACATACACATACAAACAAACAAAAACAAAAACATATTTTAAAGTCAAGTTCATAATCGAAACATGTTAAATTCTTCCACTGGATATAATAAAAGTTTGCACTTGTTTGAATACATCACAATTTGTATCCAAAGCCAATATACAATATTGTACAATATACGTAAGTATATACCTCAAAAGTCTAGATGGACAAAATATTTTGAACAAGACGAATTACCAACTGGTGGTTATTGCTACATGTATATGTACAAATGGATACTCTAAAGAATGTAACAAAACAAACAAATTCGAACAAGATGCATCATCGTTGCATCATCTAAATAAACATAAAGTAATATTTAATGCAAAATACATAACAGTTGGTATAGGTACAATGTAATAATCCTGGATAAAAATTTAACTTATGAAATAAAACACTCAGTCATTTAGTTAAATCATAGATTAAAATACATCAATGTGTTCAATGTGTAGTAACAACGAATGTGGCCAGGCGTATATCGATAGGACTCGTGCAGTCCAACCTGCTGTACTATGGAAAGAAATAACTTCATTCAATACATTATCATTGGCAACTATATATTTCAAAAACAGAGCAATCTTACTCAATACATATACAAGATTGGTAGTACCTTACACTGCAACAACTTAAAACGCTTATACAATATGTTGTTATAAAAACAGAATGTAACCAGTGTATTACATGTAGTTGCATATTGAATAATGGTATTTTAATTGGACACCACCTGTGTTAAGAGGTCACTTTTGAAGTACCGCCTCATCTAAAAGTACATTTTTTCTAACCTACAAAAGGTGGTCTATTATATTTCAATAACTTAATTGCTCAGTTATAGTAACATAATAACTTGAAGGCAAATTGGAAAACAACAAATATACAATAGATAAACCTATAACTTAATTACAGAATATTACATACAATATTATATATATACAATAAATACTCGTTTATCCTATTTCCAACATATCAAACCTACCAATTTCCGGACGCTGTTATTCATTTTAAATTGGTGCATCCCCCTATTTGACACTCTTGAAAAAAAATCTATATATAAAGAGGAGTAAATACAATGATGCTAACACTTCTTCCAATGAATTGTGCATCTACGTGGTAAACTTTTCCATGCATTGACAGAAACTGAATCAAGCAAGGATAGTGAAGATGTATAAAGATGTTAATGAGAATATGATTTCTAGAGAACTCACCATATATTTTATCTTCAATAATAGAGTTTAACATTTTAATCAGATTGACGATTCCAAGAGGTTCTTTTTCAAATGTGATAATTTGTTATTTACAGTTTCGACATACATTGTATACAAAAGTATTATCATCAAAATAAATTAGCAAACTTTTTTTTTTCTATTTCCATACCAGAACATTCAACTCGACAGTCACCACTGATTTCTCTTCCCGTTACATAATTCCTAGCCTATCGAGCAAAAATGAACGAACAATTTTTAAAGAATGCATTAGATGATAAGATAAGACTATAAAGCACAAAGATCACGTTTTCGTCTGCAGACAATGTATAAAACAAAAGTCAGATAGATAATTACTAAAAAGAATAAGAATATTATCTAAATAATCGATTGGATGCAAAAAAAACAATGTTTTGTTTACTTTATAGACAAACACCTGTCTAGAAATCGACCTTAAACACCTGTCTAGAAATCGACCTTAAACACCAATGACATATCACTATTGGAAGTTCATCCAATATGTAGATCATGAATCCTAACCAAAAAGCATCTTAACTATTTATAAGAAATTTGCTGGTATATTAAAATATCATTTTTAACTGTATACATTTAATATCATTCGATAAATCAATCTTGACAGAGAAATTATTGAATGCTGAACACTGATACACCTTCCTGCAAACACTACATGATTAACCAATGTAAAAGTGGAATCTTTTGCGATTTGTAGAAAACTTTGCGTAATTTGTGATGAGTTAATTAGCGCGAAAATATCTACACGTGAATATGCACTTATAGATTATATAGAATACGGATATATAACATATATAGATGTCTTTAGCACTGCCAATGCACCATTGTCTAACACTGCGATCTGTTTAACGAGTCATAACGCGAACACTTCTACTGTTATTGCCAAAGGTATTAATTGGTTTGTGTTTTAAATGGCTTTTGTAATTTATTTCAACAAATTTTATTGATAATCAATTGGATCGAACAACAGGCTTAAATCCTATTGAAGTTCTCTCCATTCCTCAAACCGTAAGCTCTCTCCATACAAAAAAACCCCCATTTTATTCAAATAGTATCCGGTAACTGATAGAAATGGAAATTATCTAATATACAGAATTATAACGCTTGTCATATATTTTAATGCTTTTTTGTATTTTGATTATACAGTTTGTAATGGTATAACAAACTAATACATGCTGCTATATATTTATGCAGCTGAGGGGTAAATAACCCACGAGTTTCCGATATAAAAGTCCATGGGTTCATTGCCCTTTATTGTTTCACTCAGAAATGGGTTGGACACGGTACTACCAGTTAAAAGTGCACGCTATTTCTTCAATGTTTATGACAGATGAAATCCTAACAGTATTAAGCAAAATAGATTTAAAGTAAACTTTTAAAAAGTCATCAGTGTTCATCACTGATCATCAAGATCATCAAGACATCAAGATGTATAACTACATACACATGTATACAATTATGAAAATAAGATCTCAAAGTTATAATCATTTATCATCCGTGTATGCGGACATGTCACATTAGCATATGCAAGCATATAGTTAAGTGTAAAACAGTACAATTATGATTATTCATTACATGTGCATGCACATGTACTTTATCAGCATATAGATATACAAGTATTGGGAAAATATTACGCCGATGACAAGTATCACAAATAATACCATGCCTCTTACGTGTGGTACACATAACACTTGTAATATATTGGACACGCGATATCGGATTTATAGATGAGTATGTAACCTGTTGTCAAGTTGACTTTCTATAGAAAGTGATGGCGACATTGACCTTGACCTTATGAAACAAGAAATAGTAAGGGTCTTCTCAAGCATGACCAATATATCAAACTTAGCCAAAATCTATGTAGGGATGAACTCACAAGGTTGATGACAAGATAGTCCCATATAATAGTAGTAGTGACCTTGACCACAGATTGTTGAAACATAAGCACCTCTTTCGAGGTATTCTCATACATGATGATAGATATGAAGTTGGATCAAAGTCCTTGCATGGATGAAGTTGCTAGAGTAGTGATACACATATTGACGAACGTATGAATGAATTAGTATATCTCATCCATTACTTTATCACAAGAGGATCATGTTATTCATTATGTACCTTTATGTATATATATGGGGCAAATAAGTAATTCCAACAGTGTGGACAAGTTTAGGTTGTCAAATTTTCGGAGCGATATGGTTTATTTAACTCAACTCTGCTTAAATGATATCAGACTTGTTACGTAAGGATCTAAAATTTAAATAAGCTATTGTTATGTGTTGGGGTCCTGGATTCTGTTAAACACCGATAGATATTAATAATTGTGATTCAATCACTTCTAATTTAAACTCATCATTTGTGTTGTTGTATAATGTGATTAAAACCATATCTTGATCTACATTTCGTTCCGTAAACTACACTCTGCTAAATCAAGAGCGTAGATCAAGATATGGTTTTAATCAGTGTGGTTTTTGTACATTGTGAGAGTGGAAATAGTTTGGTAAGCTACTACATACCTGTTATAAAATACTGATATCATGCATGGCATTAGTGTTTTCTGACTGCTAACGAACAAATCCATATTTAAGTAATTACCCAATATCAATCGCATTATTTAGATAAGTATAAGGACTGCGGGTACCTACTCAGATGAACACAGCACATGCTTTTGAAACATCATACTGCAGGGCATACGCACATTTTCTGAATACCGATGACAGATTAAAACACAGATTAAAACACATATATATATATATACTATCGTAGACGGTAATATTCTTACGTAAATTCGCATCACATTCTCTATTTCATCAGCGCATTGTTGAAAAAACAGAATCAGGACATTCATAAAATCCTGCAATATTCATTTAGATTTGAGCAAGCATTTAGCATTTTCTAGAAATTATACATCTATAAATAAATGAGTAGAGAAAAAAATGTTCATTCTTTTTTGAAAACAAAAATAATGACAAAGACAACATGCTTTGGCAAATCAAAGTGGAATATGCAGTTAACAAACACAGGAGAGAGTCAATTGGGGAAAAGAAATGTACTAGCTAGACGGAATATGGTACTATATGGTATAGACCATATACTTCAATTGAATTAAATGAGCAATTCATACAGTATTCATCTATTTATATCACCTATAGCTATAGTAGAGTGATTTTTACAGTTCGATATTATGGTATATATCGAATAGATATTTACATCAACCATGCATGGAATAATGTTTGCATTTATTATATTTACCAAATCCATATTTCGCATTTTATAATGATGACCACGTGTTGTTGTTGTTATGATTTGGATTTGGGAAATCCGTGTGTAACACTTTCAGTATAATTCTCAGAATAAGATCAACAGGTTACCGACACCAGTTATGTTAGATAACATTATCAGGCCGATTAGATGTTTCATGTAATATATGTTCATCTTCCATCCAATTCTATCATCTGGATCACAGGACTTGAGAATTTGGTACATATATATTTAGACTTGCTCCCGATGAAAGATACTTTATAGCTTTTTTTTTTTTCGTTCTACATTGACTTAAGCATTGGGCAACAGCAAACAATACAGCAATATTGTCTTACATTTACTGCGTTTTTGTGATGGTAAGATATACATCATGTTTATCTTTTAAGATGGTGTCAAATACACTAACAGCATGAGCATCTCTGGTCTCGAATGGTGTCGCAAATAAATGTTATCCTCATATCATTTATATATGTTTGATTCAACATATCATTAACAATGATGTACATGAAAAAAATATATACTCCTAATATTTGTTAAAAAGAAACTGCAGCAAGTAGCGAACACTGACACTATCATGATTTACAGAAAAATAGCTTGATTGATATTGCAAGGGGGCATGGGTTATATCGTTGATAAGCTAACGAGTCAGGTGAAAGTATTTTTGAGTGCTTACTTGATGTTAACATGTATTGAAAGAAGTTCATTCTACGGTTTCCAGGCATTACATTACTTTTTATTTCCAAGACCTTTTAGAGATTATTATTCTCAATCAGTTTGCTGCAATTGTATACCTAATCCTGAAACTAAGGTTTAGAAAGTAACAGTGGCAAAGCGTAGACTGACAATGAGCTGGTTCTAATCTTCATTGTATTGAAAATGATACTTACATATTTAAACTGTGTTGAAATTCTTACCTGACAAGTATATATATTTGTAGGTAATCGGCGTGAAACATACTGGTAGCAGGATAGGTTCGAAGGGAAAACCAACAATCATCATCATCTAATATAACGGCCAAGTTTGAAAAATAAAATGATCAGAATACATTGATATTTTAATATACCAGCACAACTGACTCGTGTATGAAAGTGTTTTGCTTAATGCCATCAGCGATTTGTAAAACGTTGTAAAAAGAAACAATCAAAATAAATGTGTCAACTTTTTGGTAATGAAAACAATCTGATGAGGCGCAAATAAAATAAGAAGCGTTTTAAATGAGTGTTATATTACAGCCCTGAAATAAAATATAAAGTATAGACAAAAACATGGTAGCAAGAGGGAAACCCTACATAATAATTTAAATTTTGTGGCGTGTTAAAAAAGTAAAATAAATGTTTTTTAGTCATGACAAAAAATTAAATCAGAAAAGATTCCTTGGCAAAGCTGAAGGAAAATGAATTTTAATTTTAATTCATCTTCATCATAATGATTAAGATCTTGAATAAAAGCGCCCGGCTGGTCAAATATCTTTAAAAGTTAAAGTATGATTATCCTCAATACAATATACACACCTGGCATAAAACCAGACAACTTTTAAGAAGATTACATTTTAGTGAATATGTAACATAGCACTGTAGATACAATTTACAAAGGACGTGTAATACAATGGTTTTACATTCATCAATACACTTAAAAATAAATTATGAATATGATTTCATATCTGAAGCATAAAACCGTGTTTGAGACATCAAACAAGATATTTCAAAAAAAGATTCACCACTATGCGTGGTAATATAGCCAAGCATAACATAAAGCTTAAAAACACAGTCAAAGTAAAATATAGCTAAGAACATAGACAAAATAAGACATAGCTAAATAACCATCTATGAACATGTCTATTCGTGTACTGTCAAAGTATGACATAGCTCAATATCCATCGCTGAACATGTCTATTCGTTTACTGTAAAAGTATTATATATCTCAATATCTATCTATGTACATATCTATTCGTGTATAGAGAAAGTAAGATAAAGCTCAATATTCATCCATGGATATGTCTATCTGTATATAGGCTAGTACATTTTCAATCAGGGTTAAATGACAATAAATAAGAAATAGTTTTTTTAAACTATCATCAATGAATTCAGGCGCGTTTTAGCATAGGTAAATATAGCAAACCAACCGTTAAAATAAAAAAGTGATAGCGTTTCAGCCATCCATGCGTTTAGATACATTTTTGTACAGTTATCATAATATATAACACATTAACGTAAACTATAAATCTAAATTAGAAATAGCTGTTCAGCCATCCATGAATTAGGACAGTTATCATATCAATATATAGCAAATCAATTGTTAATCTTAACTCGAAATAGCTTTTCAGCCATCCATAAATTTAGACAAATTTATCATACATGTATCAATATATAGCAAGTAAACTACGCATCTTTATCATAAATAGCTTTTCAGCCATCCATGAATTGAGACACATTTATCATATCAATATATAGCAAGTAAACTACGCATCTTAATCATAAATAGCTTTTCAGCCATCCATGAATTAATACACATTTATCATATCAATATATAGCAAGTAAACTACGCATCTTAATCATAAATAGCTTTTCAGCCATCCATAAATTTAGACAAATTTATCAAACATGTATCAATATATAGCAAGTAAACTACGCATCTTAATCATAAATAGCTTTTCAGCCATCCATGAATTTAGACACATTTATCATATCAATATAAAGCAAAATTAGCAATAAATCGAACTTCGAAATAGCTTTTCAGCCATCCATGAATTTAGACACATTTATCATACCAATATAAAGAATATTAACTACAAATCTAAATTAGAAATAGCTTCTCAGCCATCCTTCAAATTAGACACATGTAATATATAGTTAACTGACAATAATCTAAATAATTGTAAGTTATTTAACAATATTTTAATTTAGACGCGTTTAGAAAAGATGCATAAAACAAATTAACTATAAATCTAAAGAACTTTTTTTTACCATCGATGAATTTACATGCCAATAAAACATCGTCAAGTATTTCAAAGCATATTTTGTAATAAAGGTACTTAAACATTAATATACATATCATATCAGTAATACATGATACTTAAGAAACAACGTCTTACTTAATTTTCTAGGGTAAAGAGTAAGAAATATAAACATAGCAAAATGAATGTCATCAAATATAAAATACGAATATTGCACAAGTGCCCGTTGACAAGATCCCCACTCTCAAGTTCATAGACCCGGTATACATCACACACCAGAAGTACTCCTCCTTGTACCCCTAACAGGGTTATGTTATAATCATAAACCTGACCTACAGTCATGCCGCTTTTGGTATACTGCCATTAGAATGTACAACACTCCGACACGTGTATCCAGAAAATAGCCTGATGTCATCATACAAGAGGTACAACATGCGTCACGTATACGTCACATACAGGGTACCCTGGTCAGGGCGTACAGTCGTGGTCTGCACATAGGCATAACGTCTCGGAAGGTACACTTACAAGATGTGATGAAACATTGGAACCTACACAAAAACAGCTCGCGCGCCCTACCCTAGGTTATATCTCTTCTTCATTTATATACCATAAACGATGAAGTGTGTGCAACCTGTTCCAAAAAGATCGGCAGTTCAACATCTGTCGTGGAATATAAATGAAGTAAAGTATAGTGCAACAACTGTTTCGTATAAATATCAACGTTTCACTACAAAAAACTAACAACTGCCGGACCATCATGCCAATGAACGAAACACGACGGTATCCTGACAGGCATATCTTGGTATGTAACGTAGCTATGACACAAGCTTTACCCCTTGCCATAGCCATGTATGAAAAAATCTTTTGAAAATATACTTCATTCACGAAATTACACACACTTTCATTCTCTTCCATTCACTCATTCACTCTATACATACTCTTACAAATTTATCAGCATATCATTCCATCTAAACAGTCACGAATTCATCCATTCATCCAAACCGACACCGACCTATCCATTCATCTAAACAGCCACTAACTCATCCATTCATCCAAACAGCAACGAACCCATCCATTCATCTAAACAGCCACGAACCCATCCATCCATCCAAACCGACACCAACCTATCCATTCATCCAAACAGCCACGAACTCATCCATCCATCAAAACCGACACCAACCTATCCATTCATCCAAACAGCCACGAACTCATCCATTCATCCAAACCTACACCAACCTATCCATTCATCCAAACAGCCAGGAACCCATCCATTCATCTAAACAGCCACGAACCCATCCATCCATCCAAACCGCCACCAACCTATCCATTCATCCAAACAGCCACGAACTCATCCATTCATCCAAACCGACACCAACCTATCCATTCATCCAAATAGCCACGAACCCATCCATTTATCTAAACAGCCACGAACCCATCCATCCATCCAAACCGACACCAACCTATCCATTCATCCAAACAGTCACGAACCCATCCATTCATCCAAACAGCAACAAACCCATACATTCATCCAAACCGACACCGACCCATCCATTCATCCAAACCGACACCGACCCATCTATTCATCCAAACAGCCACGAACTCATCCATTCATCCAAACCGACACCAACCTATCCATTCATCCAAACAGCCACGAACTCATCCATTCATCCAAACAGCAACAAACCCATACATTCATCCAAACCGACACCGACCCATCCATTCATCCAAACAGCCACGAACTCATCTATTCATCCAAACAGCCACCAACCCATCCGTCCATCATTCAATCCATAATCTATCTACCCATTAAAACAACCACCAGTCCATCCGTCTATTCGTCCATCCTTTCATCCTTTCATCCTTCTATCCATAATCTTAGGAACAGCACGCTCTCAAAGTGATTATCTTGGCAGTGACCTATGAAATCACGAGGCATTGAACTGATACTCGGAGCAGTGACATATATTAAGGCTTCGGAGGAAATAGGTGAATATTTTAGGCAAATATTTTTATTAAGACCGGGAATACACAACACCTTATTTAAATATAACTTTCAACGTAGAAGATGCTTTTGAAATAGTTAAAACTTCTTATTCTCTTAAGCGTCCTTTTTGCAAAAGGTATGCAGTAATATACATTTGTTCATAAGGATTTCTTTATGTCATACCAATTTAGCATTGTACTTTTGTATAATTTCAAGATTATTTATAACATTATTAAAATCATTCATTTTATATTTATGCGCATTCAACGTAACAATATATTTGTCAATTATTTTTCATGTTCTATATGATGGTTATAATGGTCAAAAAGGTACAATTTGCAAACAATAAAAAGTAGGTTCAGAGTGAATCCTTCAGATCAAAAACGTTTGGCATAAACCCAAGGAGTCTTCATAGCTTAAATGTATTTCAACTTGCGATAACATATATAAAACGAGAATATACATATATATATAAGATGGGAAAAGACTATGTAATTACGTAATAAGAGTTTTTATTTCATCCATTCCCCTCTATTATGTTCCTTTTTTCAGTCCACGAGGGAATTAAACCCCATGTTTACAATGTTGTGATCCACGGGCCTAACCATATTTTATTGACACAAGGCGAACAAGTATCTGATTTTTCATTGTATCGTTTACCATTCAACAACCCACTTTCTCCATATATCAAAACGTTCATACTTCTCCAATTTCACCCACGTAAACGCCTACCAACTTAATTAATCTGTTTTCCAATCCATCCATCCTTCACACCGACCACTATATATGCATTCCAATCCATCCACTTTCAAATTCATCAGTAAAGTATTCATTGATTCACTCATTCACGTTTCGATCTTTCCGCTCTATTAATTACAATTTATAGATGTACCAACTCACAGAGTCTTAATTCTCCGCTATCATACCATGACTTTCAATCAGCCTATCATGCATACATTACTCATCCACTCTTTGTCTTTTATTCATTCATTCATTCAGTCAGTCAGTCAGTCAGTGAATCATTCATTCATTACATATTTGTGTATATTAAATTCAGGTATGTACTTGCTTCAATATTTTATC